AAAAAAATGAAGAATCAACCATTGAAAGAAAGTTCAGGAAAAATTAAAAATCAAAAAATCAAAAGCTTTAAGAAAATAATTAGGATTAAGATACTAACATGTAGTTTTAAAAATAATAAAAACATAAACTTCCTGATACATATAAATTAAAAGAAGTCGGTTGAAATGTAGACTAGTGTTTTAAAACCTCACCCCGTCCCCCGGGTCAACTCTGACCCCTCCCTTATGAGGGTTGGAGTCACAAGTTGGAACTTATATACATATCGACCCCTCCGACCCCCAAAACCTGGCCGGGTTTCAGTGACTCCCGGGTCAGAGGGGTCAAAGGGGGTCACTGCATGTTTTTTTTAATTCCATGAAACAACATCGTTTTATTTAAAAAATAAAATAAAAATGCTTGCAAACATAAATCTAATCGTTCTCTTATCTCCCAATGTCCTAGACGTCTTCAATCTTCACCCTGCTGCCGTGAATCTTCTAGAAAAGGTAAGAATTTACTCATTCAAATAAAATCCTTACGGTCGTCGATGGAAAACAAAAACTCATTCTTACTTTCTTTAAATTTTTCTTTGTCAAAGACCTTCTCAAAAGAAGCATGACCGGGTCAGCGTAGTGACCCCATTAGAATATGAGTTTTGTACTTTGGTATCTTGATACTTTAATTAGGTTGTGTAATATTGACTTATGGTTGTAATTGATGAATTATGTTAAGTATATTTTGAATCTTTGATGATTGGTGATTTTTTTTTTTTTTTTAATTTTCATATAGGATATATATTTAATTTTTGTAATATATAAAACAGAGTCAGCATAGTGACCCCGTGACCCTGACCTCGGTCAGATCAATGGTCAGGCCGGGTTTTTAAACACTGATGTAGACACATGAATAATATAAAATTTAATGACAAACATAGTTTTATGATGCAAAATGTGTCTCTTCGTTTTTTTAGTTGAAGATGATTTATCATAAATATATTTTATTAATCTTTTTTTTCATAATCAAACAAAGGAATAAATATTTTCAAATTTCAAGTAACAAGTGAATTATTGTATATTAACTTCAGAAGATGAAGGAAAAAACACAAAATATTTAGATTATATTAAATATCATATTAAGATATTGTATGTTCCATAATTGTCTAATAATTCTCAAATATATAGTTCAGCAACACTCAGAATAATGTTGATGCTACAAAACTTTTTTCCCATCAGCATTGTCCATACGCAACTTCCCTTTATCCAGCAAGATGTCTCCATAATAATAACTTTTTTTGCTATGATCAGTATACTTGCTGTATTAAAGATATATAATATAGAAATAATATGGAGTAGAAAATTATAAACACAAATAATGAGTAAGTACTTAATTCTTTCTCTGTCTTAATCTTTTTGTTATGACGGTTAACTGAATAATTAAATTATTCTTCCTCGACGGCAACAAATTTTATATTCAACGGTGACATTTTTGACTAGGATTTTGGATGGAGCAAAATAAGAAAAATGTCTCATTTGAATATGGAAAAAGGAAAAACTAAATATAATGGTTAATCAACCCCTTGATTAGCACCCCATCACTTTCCAATCATATTGGATAAATTTTTTTTTTTTTAATTCAATCAATCCAATCGATTGATTTTCCTTGTTTTAGCCAATCAATCTAATTAATGGGTTTCATTAATTTAAGCCAATCAATATAATTAATTGGATTCCTTAATTTTATCTATTGTCATCAAATCTAATTTCACGACTATATGAAAATTAAAATTTCAAATTCGAAATTCACAATTAGAATTCAAATTTATTTAACATTTAAATTAATTAGGTTGCACAATGGATCAAGTCCCGCTTGGCTCATGACACATGTAATTTTTTTTTTTAAACTTGGATAAGTTGGAAAATGAACTTTTCAAAATAATCCAAATCATTATATAAATTACACGTGACAAAACTTTTCACATAATTGCTCTAATACTAAATATATATATAGTAAAATCAAGGTTGTTGAATCGCAATATGTATCGTGTATCGTTTGACCATTTTTTTGTATAATGTATTGTGAATCACTGAATCGTATCGAATCGTAAAATACAAAAATATAATAAAAAATAATTTAAAAATATATAATATAATTAATATTTATAAATCCAAATTCCAAAAAGGATCCAATAAACAAAATACATAAGTAATTAAAGTGCAAACAATTTAGTTTACGAAAAAAAATGCAAATCAATTTTCTCCTACTTATCAATTATTAACACTAATATTATCACTAGTCAGTACTACCACTATCAGCATATATCAGTGACATAACTAATCCATATTCCCTCTTACAAAAAGGATCATTTTAGATTTTTTTAAATTTAAATCGCAAATAAAATATTTATTTCTTTTTTTATATTAAATATTAAAAAAATTTATTTAATTTTCGTATCGTATGAATCGTATCGTATATCATAAGATACTGATAACTATGAGTAAAATTATTTCTCTAGCCGCTTGACGTCCAACAATGACAATTATATGGTTATGATTTCTCATATTTAATGCTGATTGTTCGACGTCAAGCAGCTGGAGAAATGTAAACATATATATATACAGGGTTCGTTTTTTCTACAGTTAATGCAGATAAGTTATCTGCAGTAAGCCTAATACGACATCATATTGGGGCAGAAATCATGGTGTTTTTATAATTTTAATTTATTTTAGGGTTATTATAATCTTTATAATTATAATTTTTTAATCTTTCAATCCCACAACGACGTCGTTTTGGGAGTAAATGCAGATAACTTTTCTGCATTAACTAAAGAAATAGTTTTCTGATATATATACATACATACATACATATATATATGTATATATAAGGTAAGATCCTTTGAGATCAGTGTCAAATTAAAAAGTTGGATAACAAATCTCAACCTTTGATTTTGTAAATCCAACGATTATAATTTACTGGGTTTCGCTTATTAATTAATTTCGAATAAATTATAACTGTTAGGTAGACAAAAATCAATGGTTAAGATTTTGTGTCAAATTTTTTAGTTTGACATCGGTGTCAAATCAAAATGTTTGACATTAAATTTTAACCATTGATTTTCACCAATATGATGGTTATAATTTATTGTAAATTAATAATTAATTAATAAGTGAGACTCACTAAATTATAACTGTTAAATTTATGAAAATCAACAATTGAAATTTGATATTAATTTTTTTAGTTTGACATAGATGTCAAACGATCCTCGCCCTAAAAATACTTGCAAATTTCGTGCATGCATTGTCCATGGAGACATTGGCCCACAAATTGGCTGTTGGGCGTTGGCCTGGTTGCCGACTAAAATGGTGCAGATTCACATGACATCTATTTCTCCATGGAGACTGCAGATTGAGGGGATAGCCAGATCCATAGATGCATAATTTTATTTTATTTTTGTATCAATGATATTCATTTTGAATTAATAGATGGGCATACATAATAATTATTTTGCTTTCGCATTTTATTGGGATGGTAGTTAAATAGTATTTTTTTCAACTAATGATTCTATAATAAATTTGTATAAGCATTTGTTTACAATTTACATACTTTTGGATTCTGAATGGTGATTAGGACTCCCTCACAATAACAACCCTAAAACATAAACTTCTAACGATGCAAATGCAAGTAAGATTCCTTTCAGGCTCCTCTACTTTGTACTTCTATTGCGACCAATTATTATTGAACTGCGCTGTCATTAATAAGAGTTAATTTTCGATAAAGATTTTATATATTTTATTCTCTTAATAAATTTATTATTATTTTTTTATTAAAATTACAAGTGTTGTTAAGCTTTTATGTAAAAGGATTTCAGTTTATGAAAAAATAAAAAAAGCCCACATATTTATACCATACATCATACACAGCACACGCTTTATTGAGAATGCCACGATATAATGATATACCAGTTCAATGTAGCTTCCGCCAGTCCGTTGAAATGGACATTGGCCAACAAATTGGGTGTTGGCCTAGTTGCCACCTAAAATGTATCATATTCATATTATATTACTTTTTTCCAAATTATTTAAGCCAATTTATTGACTTTTACAGAATATAATCCCCTTTGTTGTAACAACAATTACGTTCATTGATTTTTCTATACGCAAGCCAGTTCAAATGCAAGCAATATCATCTGGAAGAAATTAATTCCTTCAATGATGTAGAGCACGGTGTCCCAAGTTGCTTTTTTCCAAAAAAAAAAATGAAAATAATGTTTAATTGCCTATTTTTTATATTTTCATTTAAAAAAACGGCTAAATTCGTATAATTTTACTTTGCATACTAAATTAACAAAAAAAATAAAATTCAAAATAAGTTTGAAATTTGAATAATTGCTTGAAACCGGTACGGGGGTAGGCATTAATTTAATTTAAAAGCATTCATTGGTAAACAAATTTGTTTAAAATTCAAAATTTCCCTCCCAAATATAAAGAAAATTTTAAGTTCTGCACATTTTTGTCTTATTATAAAATTGATATGATTTGGTTGCGAGCTGTGTCACATGTTTGCTACAGTGTTACTTAGAAGAAGCAACCGCTATTCACGCCGGATCGAATGCTCCTACGGTACAAAGCCTATCAAAAGCGTATCACCTTTAATTTTGGCAATACACGAATCGAGTGGACGAAAGTTTAAGTAGGTCTGACTATACAATAACATTTCCCATATTAGCTGTAAACATTAAAAAAAAATTAAAGTGGTCCCCACTCCATTCTCTAGACTTTGACTTATATCGAAATTGTCTTGTGTATTTTTTCCCAATCTCGCTATCAGACATTGTCTTGTATTCAAAAGGACCCAAAAATGGAAGTGCAAACAGCACATGTGAGTAATCTGTAATTTTTACTGTAATTTACAAATTACAATTTCCCTGCGGTTATTAATATCTTCAAATAAATATCCGAAGCTCATTCAAACCTTTTTAGTACATATAACTAGAAAAGTGGCTAGAGAAAAAGGTTAGGTTTCATTTTTTAAACAGTCTTATGGCATCGGCATTCCGTGGGCTAATGTTGGAGTGCTCGGTCCGATCATCGGTGATGCGCTGGTCGGAGACGGTGGCCTCGTACATAACGCCGAGGTGGTCGCCGCGCAGGTTGATAAGGTGGTCGGGACTCATGAGCATGTCCATTGTCGATGAGTTGGTGTGGGGGGTGGTGACGGCATTCGAATCTGTGGCGCTCGTTTCTATGCTGTGCTTCTTTTTCTTGTTCTGTGGCTGTACCATCTGATTTCTACGAGGGACGATCCATCGACTCAATTCAAATTCCAACTGTGTAAGGCACGTTGATTCGCGTGAATCTTGCTGCCAAATCTTTGTTTTTTTTTTTATTATTATTATTTTATTTTAACTTCGCCCTTGGGGGATTTTGTTTCTTAAATTTTTGTGCTTTTTGGTAATGGAAATTTTGCTTAATGCTATTGGAAAAGTATATGTATGGATGGTGGAGTCTATTTATTTCACAGGTAGTTCACCAACACTGAACAAGGTTTAAAATTTTCGTTTCTATTGTCGGCAATTCTTAGAATTCTAATCCTAAGCTTTCTGGGTCTTTCAAGGCTATATCATGGTGAATTTGGTGTGTTGACTATAATTTGAGTGAAAGAGTAAAAAAGAATACGGTGGTTGAGCTTGTCCCAACCCTAAAAATCCAATTTCAAATCCCATTCTTTCTGGTAGCGCCGGACGTGTGATACTTTGTTTGATGTGAGCAATTTATTTATTTTTATTTTTATTTTTTTGTTGTTGGGGGACGGACGCAGTGGCGAGCTTTGTTTAGTAATCCTCCAATATTTTGAGAGGCCGGTCAGGTCTTAATGGTATTTAATTACATTTTCTGTAGTCATATGATATTCTCTATGTCCAATAGTTACCCCTGAATGTGTGACGAATGGAGTCAAAATGTCAAATACAAGGATTTTCAAATTTAAACAAGATGTTTTCTATTTCGCATCATGTCATGTGTAGAATGAGATAGGTTGCTATTAAGGGCTTGCTTCCACTCAGGGCCAACATGTTCGGCGGGTTCACCCATTCCGCCCTTCAAACCGAATGTGTTGGGTTGAGTTTTATAATCCATTCTAAAAAATAGAGTAAACTGACTCATTTTTTGGTTGATTTATGACGAGGAGGGGCACGACAGGATGGTTCAGTGTAAAACAATTTTGAGACAGCGGGCCAATTTGCTTCACCCGCCAATCGAAATGGGGTGCGTCGAGTTTTTTAGCGCACTCTTAAAAATGAGACAGAATAGGCTGACTCATTTGTTGACAGATTAATTGCGAGTCGGTCGGGATGGGACAGATCACCCACTTTGTCACCTTAGTCTCACTTACAACGACTTTAACTTTTTTTCATGCTATTATCAAGAGGATATCTTTGTTTAATTCATGATATTTTCAAATTCCTCCTAATGATAAACTTCACTTACAAAAATTCATTTGTAGATGAAAATCACGTGGAAAAGAGCATAAAATCGAAAATGATAATTATTTATCATAGATGGATAGCATCGAAATTTAATTTTGTAATCAGCCCACTCATTAATCATTATTCACGTTATTCATTTTTAAACAATGGTGAGGGATTCTCATTTTTTCGTTCATCGAAACTGTAGACAAAAAGTTCAACCAATAGCAAAAAGTATGAGTGCAGCGAACCCTAGGAAACACGGTGAGAGTGAACGAGGTGATCATGGCAAGAACCCTGGTAAATCAAGTGAAGAACTTGATATTCTTCAAATGAGCAATAAGAGGAATAAAGGAGGAGGGGACCAGTTTTCCAATGACGTTTCTATGACCTCAAGACAAAAAGCTTGGATGGAAGATGAGGATGGACAACGATCATCCTGGAGGGAAATACTGATGCGTCATAATGGTGAAGATGGTGAAGATGATGAATGGGAAGGAGGGGAGTTTGATGGAGAAGAATTAGATGGAGAGGAACCTGCTGAGGAAGAAGATGTCAATCACGGAGGGATCAAGATGTGGGAGGAAGAAGGTGGACGTACCCATTTTAGCTACACCAAAAGAGCAAGAAAGAGAATGCAGAAACCATGGGAAAAAGCTTTGGTTGTCAAATTAATTGGGAAGAAAGTAGGCGTGGAGTTTATGAAGAAAAAAATAAACACTCTCTGGGCTAGAAAAGGAAAAATCAACGTCACTGATGTTGGTAACGATTTTTTTGTAGTCCAATTTAGTGATAAGGAGGATCTCAACTTTGCTTTAAATGGTGGTCCATGGGTTATCTTGGGTCATTATTTATCGCTGAGGAAATGGGAACCTGCGTTTAGACCGAATGGTGCTGGTATTGCAAAGATTGCTGCTTGGATTAGACTTCCCAATATTCCCATTGAGTTCTATGATGAAGCTTTTTTTAGAAGGATAGGGAATTGGATAGGAAAGATTATTAAAGTGGACAACACTACAAACGCTCAAGCAAGGGGAAGGTTTGCAAGAATCTGTGTAGAATTGGATCTGTCCCAGCCATCAAAGGGTGAGTATGTTCTTGATGGATTTACCAAGCAAATTGAATATGAAGGACTAGGCCTTATTTGTTTTGGTTGTGGGAGATATGACCATAGTACTGAGGGCATGTTCTGATGCTCCAAAAAATCATAATCCATCAGCTGATCACAGTAAACTTCACATTCATCAGGAGGAATCTGGAAATTCAGATTTCAATCATAACAATGGTCTGGTGTAAGAACCTGCACCGTTAATTAAGGTATTTAATTAATTAATTATGTGAAAATAGAAAATGATTCCATAATTGACTCTAATAATTATTATGAGGCTTTAATAATTATAGTAAGTGATTAAGAATGCTGAAAGTCGCTTTTCGGAAGAAAAGTGCAGATACCGGTTCTGCTAGTCAGTATAAATGTGTACCGAAAAAATATCCCAGAAAATTAATGTAAGTGCATGATAATTACTAGAATAATATGTAGGACTTGTAAAACGAGTTTCAAGTCCAAATAAGGAGAACTGGTGCCAGAAACTGATACTGGCTATGAAAAGTGCCTACCGGAAAGGTACTCTGAAAATTATAAGAAAAATATGATAATTCTTGTAAAAATGTGTAGTTTCATATTCCAAAGTTTGAGATTAAAATGCTAAGCGTAGCAATTAAAGTTAATACTGCGTGTTAATCTTTGAGTGGGCTATAAATACCCTTATTAAGGGCACATTGCCCTAGAAAACTGACTCATGTGTGAGTGTTAGGAAGCTGGTCAGCTGCTGGTTGCTTGCCTCTGGTTTCTCCTCCATTTGTGAGCCAAGTTGCCACCTTTGCTCCATTTCTTCTTCTCTTTGAGTGAGTAAACACTTGGGCGAGTGTCTTGGGAGGTTGAGGTCCTATCTTCTGAGTTGTGGGAGCTGGTTTGAGTCAAGGTTTGGGGCTGAGTCCTTGTGTTGGTGTCGTTGGGGCTTTGTGTTGGTTGTTGGAGCTCCAAGGAGCAATCTTTGTGAAGAAAGATCCTTGCTTGGGTGGTATTTTCGTGCACCCTTGAAGTCAGAATCTTGGAGCTGTTGTGTGAGCTCCAAGAGCACCCTTTTTTCTGCGTTTGAGCTTTGGTAAGCTTCATCACCTTTGATCATGAGTCTTTGAGCTTAAAAATGGAACCTTGATGCATGTAAAGGTTAAAAGATGATAACTTAATGTTGGGGTTGGTCAAACACACCTAAAAATACATGTTTAAGTGTTTAAAATCGGTAAAAACCCAACCTTGGAAGGATATCTTCACGAAATGCAGTTTCTGCATTCTGTCGTGAAATATCCGGATATCTGCCCGAGAAATATCCGGATATGTGATATCCGGATATGAGATTTGGACATCCGGATATTTGATATCCGTATATGGGGATATGGATATCCGGATATTGTATATCCGGATATGTACAGTGAAATATCCGGATATTGCATATCCGGATATAGTCCCGAGGAATATCCGGATATTCTGGAATTTCGTAGAACAGTAGTTGTGCTGTGTGTACAGTAGGCTATTGGGGGTTTGTGGACCCTAGTTTGATGAAGTTGAACTTCTGTAATTAATGAACTTAGTCAGAATCAAGTGATTAAGGGCTTATGGCTTGGTATGGAGCCTTAAGACGTAAAACGTAAAGGAAAGGCGTTGTCTTTAAGTTATATGCTTGTGGTGCATTATTATTGATATAGTATTGGTCCATAACATATTGTGAATCTACTGTGTTTGGACTTTGAGCTGTGGACTCTTGGCTTTGGGTGTTAGCTTGCAAGGTAAGCTTTTGTGTCCTCGGTTTAGCCATGTTGTGGTTCCACCATGTCCCATGGGGATATGGTTATATGCATGTTGTGTTACATGCTTTGAATATTTGAAATGCTGTTGAGCTTTATGTGTAATGACTTTTAATATACATGTGTTGTTCCATCTTGACGGTAAGCCTGAGTATGTGGCGTCATACAAGACGGTGATCCGGGGTGGATGCAAGTAGCATCTTGCACTATGAGTGAGTAATAGACGTATTCCTGCATTTCTCTGGCCAGTAGAATAGAATTGACACACATGACATGATTATCTGCTGCATTGCACTATTTTAGAACTGATGATGATAAACTGCTTTTGAACTTATATTGCACATGTAAGTCAGCTTGGGGTGGAAGATCCTTGAAGACCCCCTGTCTTACTGAGATTTCTTGTTTCGAGATCTCACCCCATGTTTGGGGAATGCTTATTTCAGGTTCAGGTAGTATGGTGACTGATGCCTCTGACGGCAGGAGGCCAGAGCTTAGCTGATTATGATATTATGCTGTATTGCTGCCATGACTGGATTTGGATGATGTTTATGTTTTTCGCTATTTATGATTATGTTGTTGTTGAGACTGATGTTGGGCATGTTGCCTTATTTGAGTGAGCATGTGGATTGTCCACGACACCTTTGTTAGTGCTTTTAGATTGGAGTTGTATAAACTGTTAGATGGTCCGGTCTACCTTGTTGTAGTTCCGTGACTAGAGCCACACTTTTATTATCTATGTTATGAGGTATTTCAGTTAGCTGTTTTATTGCAATTACATACAGACGATGTTTTATTAATTGATTAATAAGCAAGTTGGTAATGATAATGACATCATAATTGAAAAGAAAAAGATATTCCGCATTTTTAATTAAGCGCTGCTTAATACGATAGTATGATAACATTACCGGATATATATGGGGTGTTACATCTGGGACCTTGGATGGTAGTCAACCGCTAACACAGAATCCAACAACCTACTCAACCGGCCTTTGTAGGCCAGCCTGGCACTGTTTCAAAAGCGTTACAAAGGAATAATGGAAAAAGAGTTATGATCAACAATAATCATAGTGATAAGGAGGCAGTTATGCAATCACGATTTGCAGTTTTAACGGATAATCCTATTAATGAGGAAGATCATAACCAAAGAATCCAA